TTATAACGGGCAACAGTTTGTCTGGTTCGTTGACTCCATGGTACACTAGTGTGGATATAGTCATCTCTGGGTCCTACTAGTATTGCAAACTACTACTACTGCTATTACTACAACCACTACTACTACTACTACTACTACTACTACTACTACTACTACAACCACTACCACCACTACTACTACTACTGCTACAACCACTACCACCACTACCACCACTACTACTACTACTGCTACTAATACAACCACTACCACTGTTACTACTACTACTGCTACAACCACTACCACCACTACTACTACTACTACTACTGCTACTAATACAACCACTACCACTGTTACTACTACTACTGCTACAACCACTACCACTACTACTACTACTACTACTACTACTACTATTAGACACTACAACCACTACCACTTCTGCCACTACAAATGTTACTACTACTTCTACTACTACATCCACTACCACACTACCAGTATTGCAACTACTACTACTACTACTGCTACTACTACAACCACTACCAGTACTGCTACTACTACTACTACTACTACTACTGCTAATACTACTACTACTGCTACTACTACTGCTGCTACTTCTACTACAACTACTACTGCTACTACTACGACTACTACTACTACCACCACTACAACCACTACCACTACTACTACTACTACTACCACTACTACTACTACTACTACTACTACTGCTACTACTACACATTGTCCTCATCGCTCTCGGGCTGCGTGGACCTACTGCGCAGACGCTCCTGAGTTACCTAGCTGCAGTGGTGTGAGGTGGTGCTGTCGCGCCTCTGCTGACAATATAGGAGTACTGCTGTTGTCAAAATGGCGGTTAGTCTAAGACGCCGGATTAATACTGTCAGCATAGAACTGCTTCGAGGAACGATTACGCCTAGTTCTGCGCAAGTCTTATTACCCAAGATCATCCGGGAGACGTACAGCATACTTATATGGGGTTGCATTAAATGGAGCCCAAAGAATTTTCGTAAAACTGCTAACGGCGACGGTCTATGAATCGTTGGTCACCCGGTTTCAGGACGTGAGTCTTACCGTCACACCAGCTGTCTGTGTGAGAATGATTGATGTTTCACGGCATTATACGTGGATCAAGATACGCAACGTTCCCTTTGAGGCGGATGAGGCGGATATCAGGAAAGTTTTTGAGAAGTATGGAACAGTTCATTATGCTCAGCATGGTATGTGGGTGGCAGGCTCCTATGCTGGTCTGCCAGAGGGTACTTTCAACCTCAAAATGACTTTGAGACACCCAATACCGTCCTATGTTTATCTACAAGAATTCAGGATGTAGGTCATGGTTATGTATCCAGGGTAACGACGAACGTGCTGCCTATGATCACAGCGGCGACTTGTGACAAGCGGAGGCGTGTGCCTGGACGTGTGGTGGACGTCGCAGCCCCTGCTTCAAAGGTGGCATGTGTGGAACAGCCATCGGATGGAGGGCGTGGTGTTTTGTGGAATCAGGCACACAGGACTGGAGGTGGGTTGGAGGAGGGAGTGTGTTGCGTGTGGACAGGTGGTGGATGGGTAAGCGTGTGTCTTTTGTGAGTGTGTATGCGCCGGTGGAAAATAACATACAGGTAAAGAATGATTTTGTATGTGAGGATCTTGTGTTTTTCTTACGTGCACTGCCAGAGGTGGCAATAGTTGGAGGGAACTAGAATTGTGTAATCAGAGTGGCTGACGTGGACCCAAAAAAGGCGGGATTTATGTCTGTGGCTCTTAGGGAATTGTTAAGGGATGTCAGGTTACGTGATGCGTTTGGGGGGGGGGCGGTGTGGGAGACCGAACATATGTTCATTAGGAGTGGGTATGCTGCGAGGCTAGATAGAGTGTACCTTACTCAAGGAGTGGATGTGAAATCTTTCAGTACTGATGAGGCTACTATGTCAGATCATAGGGCAGTGGTGGTGGAGGTTGGGTGGGGGGCGCTCGTGGGAATATGTAGAAGCTATTGGAAACTAAATATAAGTGTGTTAGGTGATGAGGAGGGGTTGGTGGGGTTTTCAGTCTTATGGAGGGAGCTTAGTGAGGAAGAACAGGGAGTGGACGACATCGTTACATGGTGGGATTGTGTTGCGAAGGAAAAGATTAGAAAGTTTTTTGTGAGGGAAGGAAAACGTATTAATAATTTAAATATTGGAAATGGCTAACTATTTAGAGGATAGGTTAAGAGGTTGTTATGGGCGAGGGGTGGTTGGGAATAATTTTTTCCTATGGATGAAATAGTTGAAATAAAAGGGAGATTGAGGGTGTTACAAAAAGAAAGGTTTCAAGCTGTAAGGGTGCAGGCAGGGGTGGAAGAAGTGCTTTGGGGCGACAAGCCGTCTGCATGTGTTTTGCGGCATCAAAAGCAAAGGCAGGCAGTGACAGCCATCCCAAGTTTAAAGGTAACGGAGACGGTCGGGACTTATAGAGTAGAGCAGGGCAGGAGATAAGAACCACGAAAGGGGTGTGTGCATATGCGGAGGATTGGTATGAGAAGTATTGGACAAGTGGGGGGGTGGGTGCCAGGGCGTTAGACGAGGTGTGTACGTATGTGACTTGTAATTTAGGCAATAGCGACAGAAAGGCTTTAGGTGGGATTATTACGGCAGAGGAAATAGAGAATGCGTTAAGGGGAATGAGGAAGGGGAAAGCTCCGGGTATTGACGGTCTCCCGGCAGAATTTTATTTACAACACTGGATGTTAAAACGGGGATTTATACAACACTGGATGTTAATACGGGGATTTATAGTCAAGTTATTCAATCGTATGAAGGAGAAGGGTAAGTTGGGGGAGAAGCAGGCTACAGCAGTTGTAGTGTTGGTCCCGAAGGGCAAGGGGCAGCCCACCCTACGGGAGAACCGAGCCATATCGCTGATGTGTGCAGACTATAAGGTTTTTGCAAAAATTTTAGGTAATAGGTTCAAATGTGTTGTGGGGAGGGTGGTGTCAAAATCTCAGTTTGGGTTACCAGGAAGGTCAATGATTGAAGGACATGGGATACTCCGAAGTTTTGTGGAAGCTGAAGGTGGGGGTAGGGGGGCAGCTTTGATGGCTCTAGATTGGCAGGGAGCATATGATAGAGTGGAAAGGGGAGCTTTGCAGGTTATACTTAGGAGACAGGGTTATGGGGAGGAAATAGTCGAGTAGGTAAATACGTTGTATAAGGGGGCGAAAATAAGGATACAGATTAATGGGTGTATGGGGAGGGAGATTGCAATGGGTTTGAGGGCCTTAGACAGGGGATGCCCATGTCCCAAATATTGTTTGTTGTTTTCAGGACCCCTTTTATAGAATGGTTAACCGAGCTTATGTACGCCATGTGAGGGAGGTGTGGGGGGGGGGGAGGGCCTGGCTGGGGGTTTAAATTTGGATATGTAGACAACACCACTGTTCTCATTCGTGAAGGGATGTCAATGGGAGTGTTGGACGAGGTTGTGCAATTATTTGGAAGTGCCACGGGTATGCAGGTAAATAGTGCAAAGTCAAGGTGCATGGGGTTGGGTTCTTGGGTGGGGGGTGTGGGGGGGAGATGTAATGTTGTTAAAGAATGGGCGGTGTCTTTAAAGATTTGTGGTATTATTTATAGGGATGACATGGTTGCGGCACGGGAGGAAAACTCGGATAGGTTATTGGAAAGGATCGTGGGGCGTCTAGGTGTTTTGAGACCCCAGCACCCAACTCTTATACAGCGAGTGATAGTTGTAAACATTTTATTGTATAGTAAGGTTTGGCATGTTGCAGCTGTGTTCCCAATTACAGGGACAGTGATTGCGGGGATCTTAAGACGGGTGTATAAATTTTTGTGGGGTTCATGTTGTGATTGGTTAAGGAGAGAAGTTGTAATGTTACCTGTACGTCAGGGTGGGTTGGGGTTGATGGACTTGAGACGGAGGGCTAAATGTGTGTTTCTTAAATGGGAAGTTTTGCATGTGGGTGTGAATGCGGGGCAGTTGGGAAGGATACATGACAGGCTGGGTATGTGGTTTCGAGGAATGGAGTTGAGGGAATGTGAAATCGTTTTGAGGGACGTGATGTTGGTTAAGAAACTGAGAAAAGTTCGCATAAGTGTTTTGTGTAGGTTGCTTGTAGGTAGGTGTGTTGTCCCATTTTGTTCCCCATGTATGCGTGGAAGAGTATTTGATATAGATTTAGTAAGATGAAGTTAAACCCTCGGGCGTATGAGGTGATGTTTCGTTTTCTGCATGGGATCCTACCGTCTGGAGCGATACTACGAAACAGACAGGTTGTGGAGGGTGGGAGATGTGGCATCTGTGGAGGGGACGAGACTGCGTTCCATGTAGTTTACTTTTGTGAAGGGTTAGAGGAGGTCAGGTGCTGGTTAAGTAGGTTGGTACAGAGGGTGGGAGGCCGTGGGGTGTCGGTTCTGCGTGTTTTAAGTCTAGATATGGGTGGGTTAGACGAGGGCGTCATAAGAGCTTTAGATTATATCATGGTATGATTTATATATATATATATATATATATATATATATTATATATATATATATATATATATATATATATATATATATATATATATATATATATCGTGGGTGATGAGGGGAAGAGGGGATAGTGAAGAGCGAAGGAAGGTCCTGGCAATAACGTTCTATCGTACGATGTGTTGTAACAGAGAATTGTATGGGAGGAGGTGGGATCAGGTTTTCTCAGAGGGGTGTAGAATGCTAACGTTAGGAATTCTCGTGAATCTGTAAATGATAATGAGTGAGTGAAGGGGTTTTCATAGGTTGAGAGGGAGTCAGGGGGTCACAGCTGGCTCGCCTCCTTGGGGGGGGGGGTGTCATGAGAGTGTTGTGATTGTGGGTATGGAATGGTTTCCTGGTTTTCATTGAGGCATTATCTGCATCAACTTGTGGTTATCATGCCAAGTGTGGATGTAGGGCTGGAGAACTCGTTATGATCTATGTATCATATTTCAGATCATTGTTATTACAATACTGTGACGAGTGAGGACTCACCTTCGTGCTCTGGATCACACCACTGCAGCCCACCTTCACCCAATACTTGGACGCTTTCAACATTGATGTTCTTTAAGCGAAATATTGTGTGGTTACTCGCTAAGCCATTCACCCAAACCTAGAATGAGAGAGCTAGTTACATTAGTCTCAGTATATATGATATTTTTATAACTTTATGTAGTATTTTAATGCCAAAACTTTATTCAGGCTTCTTGGCTAATAAATGCAAATAACCTCTCTCTCTCTGTCTATCTCTACTCTGCTCTTCTGTCTACTCTCTCTCTCTCTACTCTCTCTCTCTCTCTCTCTCTCCCCTTCTCTCTCTCTCTTCTCTCTCTACTCTTCTCTCTTTCTCTACAAGGATTCTTACAGGGCTAGGTTGGTCTTTGCTACTGTTATTTACAAGCTAAGAGCTGTTACCTGCTTCAGCTCATTTGAAAGCCTTACCTAGCATTACCTTGATTAAATTTTTATTATGAAACATATATATGAGGAACAGGAAGAAGTTGGAACCAACTGTGAGGACAGAGCTTTTATTGAACCAACTGACTTTATTTTATCCATAGTGTTATGCTGTGCGATAATGTTACAGACTTAATCATTCTGAGAATGAATGATGTAAGATGAAATGATGTTCTTGAGAATGGCACAACTAGAGTGTACCTGCTGTTTGCTGCCCCGTCTTGTGGTATAGACGCTGTCCACCAAGTGCATCTAAGTGTGGTACCTTATTGGCCTTGTTCATAACAGTAACGCCATCCACATTTCTCCCGTGTTGAAGGCTCTTCTGAAAGAACAGATCTATCCAGGCCGGGTCCAGGTAAGAGATTCGTCTTGGTCTGTTCTTTATTCTGTCCAAAAAATCATAAATGAAAAGAGGGGCAGGCAATTCAAGAAAGTGATGCATACTCAAGGTGTAAGCGCAGAGTTCTGCAGCCTGTGCTGTTGAGCAAATACGAGATATACCTTAGTATTGTGAGCTTCCTGGATACTTTGCTTGTAAGTTTAACCACGTGATTCTTCATAGACATTTTGGAGTCAAATTTCACTCCTAGGATATCAACCTCACCCCCGAGTTCTAACACTCTTAAATTCATTCTTACCACTGCTCCAGCATTAACATCATGCAGACTGGAATCCATCATCACTTGTGTCTGCCTAGAAGAAAATGTAACCTTCATCGTTGTTCCCAGGTTGATTTAGCTGAAAGTTGATGATTGATGTGTCTAAGAACAGCTGATATTTTTATGTTTGATAGGTCATCTGCATATGCACAGGTTTCTGGGATGAGGTGAAGAAGGCCAGTGAAGCAGACATTCCATAAAAATGGACAAATCACACTTCCTTTTTGGAAAACTGGCACAGATTGAGTGTCTTGTTGACTCTGTCCAAGTGAGAACTACTTTTATTGATCTACCTTGAAGGTGTAGTGCAAAGCCCGAGACTCCAAGTGCTTGCAGTTTTACTGAGTCCCTTGTGCTATACTCGGTCGACAGCACCAGCAATGTCCACCAGTGCTACTACACAGTTGATCTTGGATTCATCCAGCGACAAGTGTCACATAGTGATATGGTTTAATAGAAGCTCAATAGTAGAGCAACCTTTTCTGAAGCCATGCTAAGGGTCACAAAGAAAGCAAATGGGAGTCAAAAAACAGTGTCATTTACCGAGAAATTATTTTCTCAAGAATTTTTCAAGTGACTGATAGGAGTTATACTGGTCTGTAGCAGTTGATTTTCACTCTGCTTTTATTTTTTAAGCAGGGACTATACTTGCTTCTTACCACACAGAGAGCCATTTACACTGTGATAGGAAATGCTGATAAATGCAAGTTAGAGGTGATGCTACCTCGTCAGCACATTACCTAGCAGTCTTGGGCTCACCATATTTTTGTCCAGGGATTTAGCCTACCTTTATTTTTACCTCTGATAGCTTTGACACAGTTCTTATGGATAAGAGAGAAAGGTTTCCTAACTAGGTCAGGGACTTACATCTCCTGACCCCGTCCTTGTCCCCCTCGCCAAATATATACCGGCTCCTTCTCTCGTTTGTGTTAGTGTGACTCTGCAAATGGTCCCAATCGGACCAAAACGTCGTCGTAAACTTCTCTATCTCTCCTATGTTCGGGTTATTTTAAAGTGGAATAATTTCATAAGGTGAATATTCTTGGTTGATGAAGGTGTTCACTTGGTTATGAACATCACCCTGGAGAAAAACATTCCAATCAGAGGCAGCAGCTCCGAGCTAAGGGCCCGCTAAGTCAGCGCGATGATTCTTCACCTCATTCTCTTGGTATCTTCATTGTTGTAAAGACAACCTTGTAATCAGATGAGCCAACATAACCAAGAGATTTGCAAGTGATTGTGCCTACTGGGTAGAGGGAAGAACCAGAGATATGAGTAAAGAAATTCACCAAACTCTCTGTATAAGATGCTGGTTGAGGTAACCAACAAGTTTATGTTGACATTAATGTTGAAGCAGAAGGATGAACACATTATCCACAAGAAACTCGATAGGTTCTGCTTGCTGCCACGAAGGTCTGTACATGGCACATACTAGCATGGCTAGTAAGGAAGCAGTAATGAAGAATTTTGTGAGACAGGTGAAGGAAACGATTAGAATGAGGGAAGAGGATAAGCCAGGAAGACTCGACCTGGTTTTTACATGACTAAAATTACTAATAGGGGACCACTAGGAGCCAGTGATCATTTGGCACTAGTTTTGAGTACCTAGTGGAAATAGAAATGCAGAAGGAAGTGGAGAAAAATGTAGAATTAAATGAAACTACGATGGATGGAGAAACTCTGAAAGAAGTGCAGTGTTTAAGGGAATTGGATGGCAAAACTACGCAAGATAGAATTGAGGTAAAGGAGTCAAGGTGTCAAGAGGAATCTGAAAGATTTATGCCAACATAAAGAAAAAAAATTACAAAAGCAGAGTTAACCCATGGCTGAGTCAGGAATGCGAGGAGATCAAGGAAAGGAGCAGGACACAGAACCAGAAAACAAACAAGAGAGCCAGAAATTAATATGCATGTACGAGAAAGGAATGTAAAAGATTAATTTGATAGTGATATAGAAGCAATGGCCAAAGCAGAGCCATGATACTCCACAGATATATATAAAAAAAAAGACAATTGTGAAGAATCAAGTGATGAGGCTGGAGACAAAGAATGAGACGCTGACGAAAAAAAAAATATTTGCAAAAGATTCAGAGTTCTTCAAATACACTGGGGATCTACAATGATCTTTATAACACAGATATGTGTACATAAAAGTACATTATGTAGATTTAACCGAGTGATTTATTTATGATCAGACTCGACATTCTCCAGTTATTTCACAGAAACCAGAATGATTAACAAAATTGACACGTTAACACTTACACAACCTAAAATCGAGGCGAAGGTTCTTTATAAGACAACACAACTGCTCACCATTTTGATAACCAACCAGAAGTAGCCTCCAGCTCTTGCAAGAAGCCCAACAAGCCATTCAGAAGTTACATTTTAAAGTAGAAGATAATAATGTTTTGAAGAGGTGTGAGGGAAAAGTTCAATAGATGGGAGTAGCGAGGGAGTGTATAGCAACAATAGTTTCATTGCCGGCTACTTGTTAAGGTAGGGTAAGTCCAGCTCCCACTTTCCCCCCCCCCCTTTTTCCCCCTCCCCGAAAGTGATAGTTTGATTGCCGGCTGCTTGTTAAGGTAGGGTCAGTCTAGCTCCGGCAAGCCCTTCCCCTCCCTCTTCCCCCCCCCGAAAGGTGACGTGTGGGGCTCCGGTCAAACAGTAAATCACTCGACTCACAGCTCCCAACACTACTGTAAGTACACGCCTGATCATATTTTAGTGGACTTATTGGTTGAAAGCTTCACTTTTGACCAATAATTAACTTAGTCCTTTCAGTCTTTATCTGTTAAATGTTTTAATAATCACCACATCTTTTAGGTATTGTACTTATCATGGAGAGTGATTTCTTAAGCAGTGGGTAATCTGTCTCTCTTTACACCTTGGAATGACAGAGAGGGTCACCTGCCAACCAACGAGAAGAATAGGAGACGGACTAACGTCCTGAGACGTCCCATGTTTAATCTACTCATCATAGCAGTGGTAACGAACCTGTTTTCCTGTCATCTGAAGTAATTATTCACGGCTACACTCTGTGAAGAACGAGCCGGTGGTTGTCACCAACACCTGCGACCCTCCCCCCACATCAGCAACGGCTACGATTTCAACAACATGCAGTGTCACCAACACCTGACACCCCATTACCACGATATACCTATATTAGCATTGAGTTCAAAAGTAATTTTTTTCATTTCATTTTTCATTCAATTAGGATACCCATTCATGTTTTATTGTTTTACATTTTCCGTTTCTAAATAATAGTGTTTATCATTGTATGTTATTATTTCTTTTTCTATTCATTAATTTTTCTGAGGAGGAGCCAGCCTTGGTAATACTGGCTGAAATTGTTACAGGGCTGAGTAAGCCTTCACAAGTGGCGACCTTGCCAGGATCAATTCAACTGTATCAAGATTCAATTCCATATCGAATCTACCATTGGAACTTCAATGCCGCATACCACAGATGGTTACCACCAGCCATGAGTAAATCATTTTCTGTGGTAGGAGTATGGTATAGGTATTTAAAAGATTTCGTGATTGTTATAGTCTCAATTTATTGTAAGTCAAGTCAGGCAGCATATAATATTTAATTCTGCCACCTTTTCGAGCTTGAAACACTTTGGAGGATTAGACTCTAGGGACCCGAGATTTTCCAGTGACAATATGTTTCATTGAGCTCTTTATTATATCAAGGGAACTGCCGTAGGACACTCTTGATTTGTTGGTGAGAAGATTGGATGGTCAAGTGACCCCATTCTACTTACTGTTTGCTCGGAGCCGGCACAGAACCCTTCGTTTTAATTAATACATATTGTTTAATTGAAGTAGGGATCGAGCCCTCTGGTTTATTTACAGTTTGAGCGGAGCAGGAATTGAACCCTCCGTTTTTTTTTAATACCCGTTTCATTTCCCCTGATAGTTTAAGTTATTCTTGCAAGTATGGAGGAATACCAGTTTTGGATGAACGCTGCAAGTAAGTTAGGAATAACAGGG